ATAACCATATAAGGCCCCTTAAGAAATTTCACAACTGACTTAGAAATCAAAGTATAACTATACAATTTGACAAAAATCTCATATATGACTCTATCCCACATCTAAAGACCCATTCAGAAAATTCTTTTGGCCTTCATAACTCCGCTAAATGTATTTGTGTACCAATAAAATTTGACATAAAGCAATTTAAAGTAACCTTCATTTTCCTACCTGGATCAGCCTATAATTGGCCCTCCCCCTTTCAATCCTCTTAAGTGATGGTACAAGTATAAAATTAAAGTAAAATTATTTATTCTAAGAAATTGGTCACAGTTTCCATTTCTATATAATTTCCGTAAGAATAGGACTAAAATGACCCAATAGGAACCATTTTCCGAATTTAACTTTAAACCTCAACATTTTAAGGTGGTTATATAAGATTTATATATAAGTTTATTTGTACAATTTAATGTTTTGTTATGAAGTTTTAATCTCCGATAAACTCCACCAACCGATTCTGGCACAGTAGGCTGGACTTTAGGGTTTCTAGGGAACTATGGCCGAAGTTAAATTCAAAAGCAATTGAGTACTATTAGGACTGGATAGGAATAGTATAAGGATTTTAGTAGGAGTAATGGGGTCGTTAAGGCACAGGATTTTTAAAGGTTGTGTGACGACGATGAGGAACTGGAAACAGTAGGGCATATTTTATGTACGGCATATTTACTGTCCCAGAATACAGAGTCTGAGACTGTGACGGCTAGGTAAAATATTCCATGATGAACTAGGAGTGCAGCAGGGTGCAACTTAGTCGACATTCTGGGTTTCATTAAGGGAATATCTTCTCATCTTTCTCTTATTCTTCTGTCTTCTTTTTATTTTTCCTTGTTCTTTATTAAAGGGAATTACAATAGATCTTGGGGTCTCCGAGTGGATGTATACATTATACCTTTTAAACTAACTAATGAAGTTCTAAACGATTTTAGATTTCTTTAGGTTTTTTATAAAGAAATTTCGAATTTTGGGGGGAAATGTAAGTGCGGTTTTAGTTTTTCGTCCAAAATATCAACTTTTTAAGGAAAATATGAGCGACCACGATTTTGGGTTTTTGATAAAAAGGTCGATTTAAGAGGTTCACTCATATTTTCACAAAAATCCACCTTTTTAACCAAAAACCTAAAAAAAACTCTAAATTTCTTACAACTTCGTTAAAATATGTTTAAATTGATAGGGGAACCAATTTTGTGCGATTTTGGGTTTTTGATCAAAGAGGTCGATCATATGTGAAACTTGAAAATTCAATTTTTAATTGTACCTCCTATAGGTTAGTAGTTAGTCTGTTGAAGTTTGTCAGAACAGAAGACGTGGGTTCGATTTCCACCAGAGACACTGGTATAGGAGAGTACAACAAGCCCGATAGAGGCCTTGGAAAACACATTCTCCTTTCGAACTAACTGAAGAAAAACATGGATGATCACAAACGTGTTTTAAAGAAGTTACTAGCAATTTTACTTTTTCTAGGATTTCGATCAAGAAGTCGAATTTTGAAGGAGTATATAAGTGATCTTAAGATTTTAGATGCAAAAGATCGATTTGGGAAGATTATGAATGATCACAATATAAGATATATTTTCAATTTAAAGGACTTTTAACAAAGTTAAAAGCGATTTAAGTTTTGGATAGGTTTATATAGAATAATATAAAAATAAGTGATAATAATAATTGAACCGCCTATTAAGTGTAAAAGCAGGAGGCCTCTTTGCCTATCACTGCTCTAAATAGTTAAATTCCAAATGCCGTTTAACTACAATCCTTTTCCAAGTAAAACATTTATTTTTGTTTATAGATTTTTTGTTATAAAAACTGTTATTTATGATTTTAGATAACAATTTCTTTATTTATTTTATTTTTTTTTCTTAATTTTTTTCTTTGATTTGTTTTTTTTTTATATATATATAATTATATATAATGATAAATGTTTATTATAATTATCGTAATAATCATAATAAACTAATAATGACTTACTAACTAAGCTAACACTAATTTTTTTTATATTTTAGTTTTTTTGTTTTTTTTATTATTATTTAGTTTTTATATTTTTGTTTAACTTTATATACATTTGTTTAGTTTTTATTTTATTTTAGATTTAATTGATTTATTTCGGTTTATTTGTTTTTTGATTTTTTTATAAATATATTTAAATTTTTTTTATATGTATTATTTTAGTAGATACATAGAGGTTTTAAATTTTGTTTATACCAGTTTTATTTAAATTTAGATTTTTATTATTTAGTTTTTTTTGTTTTAAATTTATTTAATTTTCTATACTTGTGGGTTGTTTTACCGTTTTATTATTTTTGTTTATTTATTTATAATATATAAATTTTTAAATTTACAGACAAATTCAGTTTTTTGTAGAGTTGAAATTTTGTGTTGGAGAGAAATATTTTTTGTTATTTTGAAAAAGTCATCAATAGCTTTGGAATTTTTTTAAATTTTAGGATTTTTTCAATTTTGAAATAAAATAAAAAAGTTTTTTTTAGGTTTTCCTTAAAAAAAGTAGATTTTTAAAAACTGACAAAAATCTAAGATTTCTTTTAATATTGACGTTTTTTTATGATAAAGTGTATACAGCATGCTATGAATGCGTACTCAAGTGATTGACTTACTATTTTTGATCATAATCAATATAATGATTGATGTTTAATGAGATTTTGCTTAAAAGTTAAGAAATTTTGCAATGTTCAGAGATAATTTGGGAAAAATTCAAAGTAAAATTTGTGTGATAGAAATAAGGGATATTTTTCGTATAACAACCATAGGGAAGTTGGTCAAAATATAACAGGAAATAAAAAAGGATGTTGTTTGACAACATATAAATAACAATAATATAACAGATTTGAAAAAAAAATCAACAAGATAGTAAAAGGAAAACCTTTATTGACTTGGAAATAAGATAAAATATTTAAAATTATCAACAGGCTAAGAACTCAACAGCTCAATTGCTTAAAAAGTCAATAAATGTTCTCCAGATGTGAAAACTAATACTTATTAAACTTCAACGTTTTAAGCAATATTCATGAAAAGCAACACTAGAGCACGATAGCCAGCAGAGAGCAAGCTTAAAACGACAATTGGCACGTACACAATACAAATCAAACTTATTCATTAAAACAAAAGAGAGAAAACGAGAGCAATCAAAAGCTTCTTAAGACAGCTAGCGAACAATGGAATTTTTACATTTAACTTAATAAAACTCAATATAATTCTCATTTAGTTAATAATATTTGAGGCATAAATATTATTTAACTTTTAGGAGGATATTACTTTGTCAATCTAAATTCTATAAAGTTCAATGCAATTAGTAATGAGTCCAGCACCTTTAGGTCATATCAATCGTCTTAGAATCTGCATTTGCATATGATTTAACGAGGTCCGTCTATCTGTTCATTAATTTTTAAATAATATGTTAAAATTTGGTTCAATCTCAAGAATGAATATTAATGAAAATCTGTCTCTGTAAAACGATCCTTTCGTTTGAAATCATAATAAAATTTGGGAAAAATTCTTGAAAAATCATCATAGTTTTTCATTGATAATTTGCTTAACATTACCAGCATTTCTCTCCATAAAGTTCGAAGCTTCAAATTAGCACTTACTTTAAACAGAGAGAGAGACTAGGGTGTTAAAAATGAGCTTTTTAAATGATTTTTTTTACTTTCCAATACATAAAAGCTAGAGAACTTCCAAGAGAACTCTAGTTTAGAGCAGCTATCGATGTGCTCTTAAGAAAAGAAACAAGAAGAAAGAGAACTGAAGCAATTATCATTGGCTTTAGAAAGAGAGCTTTTTAAATTATTTTGTTTGCTTTTTGTACATGAAAGCTAGAGAACTCTAGACGGCTATCTAGTCGGTGTGATCTTAAGTATGTGTAAAAGAAACAAGAAGAGAGAGGAAAGAGAACCGAAGCAATTATCATTGGCTTTAGAAAGAGATAGAGTGTGAGAATGAGCTTTTTAAATTATTTTGTTTGCTTTCTTATACATGAGAGCAAGAGAATTTAGGAGAGAACTCTTTATCTTTAACCAGCTTAGAGCAGTCATCGGTGTGCGCTTGAGTGTGGACAAAAGAAGGTGAGCTTTTTGTCTATCTCTGCTTTAGAGTATTGTAATATTGTAAAACAGTTTTTATGCTACTATTTATTTAATTGCTCTCTGTGCCATTCAATGCTTTAGAGCACATTTTATATAAGGCACTATTCAATAGTTAAACGGACCCAGAATTACTTTCCACATCAATTTAACATTGCAGATAGCAATTTCGAAAACAATATTATGAAATTCGGGCCCAGATCGGTTATAAGGTCACATACAGAAAATTTTTTGGGTAATAAACCATTTTTTTCAAATTGTTAAGAGTTCGGAGCTCTCAGAGGAATCAAAAACTACCGTACATTAAACACTTTGGCAATTTCGAATTCGCAATTCAAATGCATTTCGAACATCCCCAAATAACTATCGGTATAAGATGCAGCAATATGATTAAACTTTTCCGCAAATTTTTTGGGTGGAAGAAAATTTTTGCCAACAGAATCAGACTCCCCAGTACTACATAAAAAATACGAAAAAAAAGATAACCGCTTTTGTGAAATAATAAAAACTTCAGCTATTGATGTCATTTCCTTACTATTGCCATAAAATTTTGAATTTGAAATCAGTTTGTAGGAGTTATATTTGGAGTCTCTATGAATATTTCTCCAAAAAAAGTCTCCAAAAAGTTTTTATTTATATTATTATAATTTAATTCAATATATCGTTATATAAATATAATACATTCATACATAAATAATAGATAAATTCAATTTACAATTGTTTTAATTATATGTTAATATTTTTTTGTTTTGTTTGTTTGTGTGTGTGTGTGTGTTTTTTTATTTGCTTCAGCAATTAATATCAAATTAAGCAGCCATATTTTTCTTTAAATATTTTGTAAAATTTTCTTTTTTTTGTAGTAAATAGTAGAAATTTAAAGTAGTTTTTTAGCAAATATTTGAGTGTTGTGTTTCCATGATCTTTGAATGACGACTTTGTTTGTTTCTGTATAAGGACCAGCCCTCTAAACGTTGAATTGTTTGATTTTGAGTTCATTTCAAACCACATCCTCCTGTTGCTGATATTCGGCTAGAGTTTTTAATAGTAGCAAACGTGTTGCCAACTCTTTTGAATATTACCAAACTAGCGTTTCGTTTTGCATATTTTGAGGTTCACTGAAATTGGCGGCTGACATGAATTCAGGTGATGCGGAACGCGGGCCATTTTGTTGAGATTGTTGTGACTGTTGTTGTTGCTGCTGCTGTTGTTGTTGGGCTTGTTGTTGTTGCTGCTGGGCGGCCAGCAGATGGTCCGGAGGTGGTTGCGGACCTCCCGCTGATTGTATATTCATGGGAGGTCCGGCAGTCTGACTAAGAAATTGTGATTCGGGTGTTAGGCCAAATTCATTAACCATAGGAATTGGACCCGTATGATCCATTGGTCCGCCTAGAAAAGTAAATTAAGTTATAGGTTAGTCATTGTTTAAGGGCTAAAAGGGAAAGTTTGTTAACTTACCAGGCGCATTGAAAGGCATTGGTCCTCCAGGATGTCCTGGAAAGAAGGGTCCATCGTGTGGATGAAAATGTGGTCCATAGCCAAATTCAAATTTACCCTCCGCCGCAAAATAGGGAAATCCGGGACCATCATCTAAACCACCCGGCGATAGATTCATAGGAAATCCTCGCATTTTACGAGCACCTCCAAAGAACGGTGGCCGACCCATGCTGGTGATTTGTTTCATGCGTCTTTCTTTTGAGCGTTTATTTTGAAACCACACCTGGAAGACAAGAATCACAGGAAAGAAAAATTAGTTAAAGTCGAATCAAATCTTTAACAAAAAGATTTTTTTCTTAAATTAAACATCGATTCATTAAAACTAACTAAATTTTGTTTCAGAATGTTAAAGAAATTAAGTGTTTTTCTTTAATTTTTGTTGTAAAAAAAGCTTTCATGACTTCTAAATTCTTTATTCATGCAGTTAGCAGATATTTGACATGAAAACTTTGACTCGTCTTTGTTATAGTTTTATATGAATATTAAAATGTTTTTTCCTAAAAAGCAGAAAAATAACGTCATGGGATATTTCACTCCATTTTTATAATACAATTCATTTGTTTTTACTACTTCAACTCAACTCAAACCAAAAAAAAACCTTTATGAACTTTATTTTGCGTTTACAGCCTCTACAGCGTTAAAAACAAGAAACATTAAAACGAACAGAAATCATAAATGCTCATAATACAATTTTTATGATGATCCTCATCATCAACGCTCGTAAGATTATAAAAAAAAACTTCATATTTTTTTATGATCCTGATCTAAATGCCGCTTTAAATAAGCTCACACTATAAAACCAATATACATATGTATATGTTTTTTATTTTTTTGCATTAGTATGAACGCATTGTGTTTATTATTTTAAGAACCAGGTAATGACAGTGAACAAATATTTTACAAAGGTAAAGGTTTTGATTTGAGCACCATTCAATGCCAAGAATTATGCTAAATTAGTATGAATGGCGATTTTCACAATATGCGCCAAAAATGTAATAATTTTTTTTATTTTTTAGGTTCGATGTATTTTTGTTTTAGTTAGTTTTAGTTAGTTAGTTAGTTGTTAGTTAGTTAGTTAGTTAGTTAGTTAGTTAGTTAGTTAGTTAGTTAGTTCGTTAGTTAGTTAGTTAGTTAGTTAGTTAGTTAGTTCGTTAGTTAGTTAGTTAGTTAGTTCGTAGTTAGTTAGTTAGTTCGTTAGTTAGTTAGTTCGTTAGTTCGTTCGTTAGTTCGTTCGTTATTCGTTAGTTCGTTAGTTAGTTCGTTCGTTCGTTCTTGTTCGTTCGTTAGTTAGTTAGTTAGTTCGTTCGTTCGTTAGTTCGTTTTCGTTCGTTCGTTTCGTTCGTTCGTTCGTTAGTTCGTTAGTTAGTTAGTTCGTTAGTTTTAGTTCGTTAGTTTTGTAGTTAGTTCGTTAGTTCGTTAGTAGTTAGTTAGTTCGTTCTTTAGTTAGTTCGTTTTCGTTCGTTCGTTTCGTTCGTTCGTTCGTTCGTTCGTTCGTTCTTCGTTCGTTCGTTCGTTCGTTGTTCGTTCGTTCGTTTCGTTCGTTCGTTCGTTCGTTCGTTCGTTCGTTCGTTGTTCGTTTGTTTCGTTCGTTCGTTCGTTCGTTCGTTCGTTCGTTCGTTTTCGTTCTTTCGTTCGTTCGTTCGTTCGTTCGTTCGTTCGTTCGTTCGTTCGTTCGTTCGTTTCGTTCGTTCGTTTTCGTTCGTTCGTTCGTTCGTTCGTTCGTTCGTTTTTCGTTCGTTCGTTCGTTCGTTCGTTCGTCTTTCGTTCGTTCGTTCGTTCGTTCGTTCGTTTCGTTCGTTCGTTCTTCGTTCGTTCGTTCGTTCGTTTTCGTTCGTTCGTTCGTTCGTTCGTTCGTTCGTTCGTTCGTTCGTTCGTTCGTTCGTTTGTTCGTGTTTGTTTGTTTGTTTGTTTCTTTGTTTCTTTCTCCCTGCCCTCGCCTCCCGCGTTGGCCCGTTTTTTTGCTTCTTTGCCCGTTTTCATGCAGCTGTTCTGTATGCCCCAACAAATTATAATTTTTAAAATTTATATTCTCATTTCTACAAAATCATGCATTTAAATTTGTTTGAAATTTAAATGCATCTATTTATGCATGTATCAGTGTGTTTATTATAACCTCACACACACATTCACTTTACTATTTGTTTTCCATTCGAACATTGGATAGAATAATAATAAAAAAATTGCAAAAAATAATAATAAAAGGAAAACTTTTCTTTTTTTTTCCATACACATACATATAAAGGGTTGCAAAAAAGAAAAACAAACTACAATATAGATTTAAATAAAAATTGCTATTATTTTTTATATTGTTTTTTTTTTTTTTTGTTTCTTAAAAGTTGTTGTTATTTTCTATAAAAGCTCGTGTTGCAACAGAAATAAAAAGGAAAGAGGAGGGACTAGAGAGGAAGACAAACAAATGGAAACAAAACTCTATAATATAGCTAAAGGCAATATTTACAACAAAATACATATCTAAAAAACATTATTTTGCAACTGAATACAAATATGAAAACACTGCGAGAAAAGTTAAGGCAAAGCAACTTGCAGATGCTTATTTTATAAAGTAAAGCCTTTTATGGGAATTTTAGAAGAATTTTTTAGGATTTTTTGCTGAAAACCTGATATTTATAGAACATATTTGGGGAAAACTTCAGCTTCCTAGTTCCTGCTGTTTAGGAGCTTTAATGTCCGTCTGTAGTGTTTTAACAGATAGACGGACGGACGGATCAAGGGTGTGGACATTTCTTTAAGATCTTTTTAAAAATAAAATAAAAATATCGATGTGTAACTACAAAAATATAAAAATGTCTGCCCCTCTACAGTGGTTGATCTAAAGAATAGAAAAAATAATTTATAAAAACCCTCCTTCCCCAGATATTGGTTTGCTTCACTAGTTGATGTTTAATGTTGATTGGATGCTTAACATTGCGGCAATGTTAAAGAAAGGGTAGGGGAAATTATAAGTTTTTTTCTAAGAACAAAACAATGTTTATTGGGGCAGCGGGCAGGAGTACAAAATAGTGCAAAAAAATAAAATTAAAATCATAGTTTTTTTTTATGGACAAACAATTCATCATCTCTCGTCATTGTTGTTTAACACTTTTTGTTTGTTAATGTTGTTTTGTTTTTTTTTTTTTTTTTTTTGTAATGTTAACAATGTTTCAGAAGGCCACTACAATTGTAACAGTGGCGGCTAGCAGCCACAACAATAAACAACTACCATTTATGTACTACTGGCTGGTATGTTGGTGGTGTTAAACAATCCACAGATTTAAAGCATCCTAACCAAACCAGACGCTTGGATAGCTCTGTTTTGGCCTGCCAACCATCCATCTGTCCATCTATCCAACAAAGTCAGTCATCAGTGAACCAAACTCGACATTTAACACAGAAATTTATAAAAAAATATAACAAACCACAAAGAAGAAAAAAGTTTTCTGAATGAATTGCTGTTGTTGTTGCTGCTGCTGACTGGTTTGTATTTATCGGACACCAGCGGCTTATAGAAAATAGTTGTTGCAAAACAAATGCGAATATTAAAAAGTTTTTTTTTGTATTTTTTTGCTGTTGTTAGTAGCATAATAATTTTTTTAAAAAACTTTTATTTTTTTTTAGTTGTAAAATCATAAATATACAAGTGCAATATTTATGACTCTCTAAAGAGCCTGACTAGGGGGACAACATATAGTAGAAACAGCAGCAGCAGCAAACAAAAAAAACTCATATTTTCTTTATTACTTGTAAATTACAATACCTAGATACATTTATCATGGCCAAAACATATAAACATACAACTACTCGAAAGACCACTCACTGGACAATAAATACTGAAAAAATCTCAGTCTTTTTTTTCAACTACAAATTTAAACTTTAACCAGCTAAATACACTGGAAAATATGAACAAAATTTTTCATTATAAAAGTTTTAAATAAAACACATTATTATTTATTAAGTAATTACAACAATGTTAAAGTAAAAACAATAATGTTAAAGTAACAGTTATCTTTTTTAGATTACATAGGTTGTACAAAGTAACCATTTGAGTTTACTTGTCATTACATTATAGTTCAGACTATAGTCGAGACTTTAGTCCAGGTTATAGTCGTGTATTTTGTTCAGACTATCGTCGAGTCTATAGTCCAGACTTTAGACGAGGCTATAGTCCAGAATTTTATAGAGTCTATAGTCCATTCTATGGCCGAGTCTATAGTCCAGACTATAGTCGAGTCTATAGTCCAGACTATAGTCGAGTCTATAGTCCAGACTATAGTCGAGTCTGCAGTCTAGAATATAGTTGAGTCTGCAGTCTAAAATATAGTCGAGTCTATAGTCCAGACTATTCTCGAGTCTATAGTCTAGAATATAGTCGAGTTTATAGTCCAGACTATAGTCGAGTCTATAGTCCAGACTATACTCGAGTCTATAGCCCAGACTATAGTCGAGTCTATAGCCCAGACTATAGTCGAGTCTATAGTCCAGACTATAGTCGAGTCTATAGTCCAGACTATAGTCGAGTCTATAGTCCAGACTATAGTCGAGTCTATAGTCCAGGCTATAGCCGAGTCTATAGTCCAGACTATAGTCGAGTCTATAGTCCAGACTATAGTCGAGTCTATAGTCCAGGCTATAGTCGAGTCTATAGTCCAGACTATAGTCAAGTATATAGCCCAGACTACAGTCGAGTCTATAGTCCAGACTATAGTCGAGTCTATAGTACAAGCTAAAGTCGATTCTATAGTACAAGCTATAGTCGATTCTATAGTCCAGACTATAGTCAAATCTATAGTCCAGACTATAGTCGAATCTATAGTCCGGATAATAGACGGGTTTATAGTCCACACGATAGTCGAGTCTGGACTATAGTGGAGTCGATATTCTAGACTGCCATTGGGTCTATAGTAGAGACTATAGTAGATTCTATATTCTAGACTGTAGTCGAGTCTATCTTCCAGATTGTAGTCGAGTCTATAGTCCACACTATAGTCAAGCCTAGAGTTCACACTCTATAGTCCAGACTATCGAGTATATAGTCTAGACTATAATTGAGTCTATAGTGCAGACTATAGTCGAGTCTATAGTGCAGACTATATTCGAGTCTATAGTGTAGACTATAGTCGAGTCTATAGTCCAGACTATAGTCTATAGTCCACACTATTGTCTTGACAATATAGTCTAAACTATAGACAAGTCTATAGTCCACACTATTGTCTTGACAATATAGTC